CAAATTATGAAAAAATTATATTTTTTATAATTTAGATATCTTTTGTATTTTTATTGATGATATAATTTTATTTCCCTTTAAAAGTTAAACATTTACTTTAAAATAAAATAAAACAAAATAATTCAAAGATTTTTTTTTTAAATATTTTAATAAAAAGTAATGATAAAAAGAAAAGCTAAAAGTCATGAAGACATGCATTGTTTTCTAAATTATTATTTTTACTAAAAAGAATGTTGGGTTTAGTACTTGGAGTGAATATAATTTAAAGATTCAACCCATGTGCCAAAGCTTTCTATTTAGTGATGCTTTGATGTTATTCTAACTTATATATATATATTGGACCGACATGAGATTTTATGTTAGAGGAAGCGAACTTGAACTTATAAAATTTTAAAGGAGCGAATAAAAAATTTTAGGAGGCAAAAACATATTTTTAATAGAATATACATAGAAAAAAATAAAAAATATATGATAATTTTATATTTTTAGGGGGTGATATCCCCCTCCCGCCCTGCCTAGGTTCATTCCTATATATATATTATTTTTTTATTAATATAGTGTAAGTACAAGACAATATCTGTTCAAAGATAAACTCTCAACCTTTTGATATTAAACGTTCATGCCCTTGGTAACTATGTTGCTCAAATCCGAGTCCTCAAGAAATAACAATAATTCCTTTAAACCCGATCCTCATAAAATAACAATAATTCCTTTAAACTATGTATAAAAGGGGAAAAACTATGTAACTTTTGAGTAAGTTACCTTTTTAACAGTGACCTTTTTGGTTTAGAATATACTCTGCGTTCACTTAAACATCTTACCTTTACAGTTCATGTACATTGAAATAGAAACGGATGAAGAATTTTAATTTGACTTAGGGACGAGTATTCGATCGAGCCGAGAAAAATTAAATATAAAAAATTTAAGTTAGTTGAGTTGATGTGTACTCTTTTATCTTTAAATTTTATTTTAATTTTTTCCGAGTCGAGTTTAGTTTATAAAATTTGAATCGAGACAAATCATATATATATTAATTCGAATTTCTATTCAAATTTAATTGTAATTATTTATAATGTTACGGTACTCATTGGTTCCAATTTAAACGAATATCTCTAATCACATATGTTATATATGTATATTCTGTTATATTCTTTTTCATATGTGCAAGTAGGATTTGTTACGTGGATGATATTAAATACAATCTAAAATAATATACGATGTTCACCTATCCAATTACATATAATTTTTTAAAATATATGATGTTTAATAAATTTAAAATCAAATTCTAAATTTTTAATTTCTTTTCGTTAATTAAAAATAAAAATTACTCTAATTTTTATTTGTATATATAATTATTTAAATAATTATCATTTAAGAATTTGAATATTTTAGATATTATAACATTTATGTTAACAATTTGATGTACAATATGATACTTGGATGCATGCTTTCATTTTTGTTTGGAAACTCTCCTTGTAATTTGTTTTATGATTTATTTTTTTAATAAGATATAACAAAAGTATAATTTTAAAATAAATTATATTTTTTTATAAATTTATTAATTTTTTAAAATATTGCTTTAAATATTAAAAAATATTTAAATAGAATTTTAGTATCTATTAATAAATCAAATAAGAAATTACTTATTGAATAAATCCGACCCGAATATTTAGAGTATAAATCCATCCCGACTAGAGAATTATATATCCTCCATCCAACTAAACCCGACCTGAAAAAGATATATCATCCACTCAACTCCGCCCGACCCGACTTTTTAGAGTACAAATCTAACCCGACCCGACCCAACCCAAAAACATGTATCATTCACCCGAACCCAATCCGACCCGAAAATTATATATCTTCCACCCAACTCGATCCGACTCAAAAAATATATATTATATATTATCTACTCAAGTCCGACAGAGTATAAATCCAACTTAACCCGTCCTGACCCTGTATAAAATAAGGACTTATTCGGATTTGATTCATATCGAGGGTTCGTCGTATTGAATACGACCGGTTTCCTGGCATCTCTCAGCATCATCTTGTTGCTTATAAGTGGATGACCATTGAAGGACAGGTTCTTTATGTGGGTGTTAATGGTGATCCTGTGGGTGTTTAATGCCTGCCACTTAGTAGGATGAATTACATGTCTCACCGTCTCACGTATTATTTCTTCATTAATAAATAATCATTAGATTAAGAGAATCCATTATATATAATCTTGTTCCCTGCCTTAGCTAACATTAGGGTGTATTCAGTTCGGTTCGATTCGATTCTATTTTTTAATAAAAGATAAACAAACATTAGGGGTGTTATTTTTTTATTCGATTTAATTTCGAACAAACCTATTTCATATAAATTAGATGACCCTATTCCCATATATAATGGGATAAGGGGGGTAGGATAGTAGGTTGCCCCCAACGCCAGGTTGAGAGTAGCTTCTGTAGGAGACCTCCGGCAATTAAAATTATGAATTGCCCACTATAGGACTCGATCCCACAACTACAAGATTAAGAGTCTTGCGCTCTACCAACTGAGCTGGACGGACAATTCATCAATAATAAAATAAACTAATCATATCAAATCATCAAGAATAAAATACTAGATACGTGATCCTTAATCTTTTTTCGATTGTTATTTTCCAAGAAGATAAGATTCTATCGGATATAAACTCTCTGAAGGGATGAGAGAAAATATGATATTGTCTATTTCCTGGGGACCATAAAATCTATATATAGTTGATCTAAGAATCATTTATTGTTATGCTTATAACTATGTCATTCGTCACATTATAAATACAACTTTAATAGTAACTACACTTTTGTTTCTATAATACTTCTAACATCTCATGACTTTATAATATAATTGATTACTTAATTTATATAATATTTTATGATAACAATATATATTATAAATATGTACTTATAGTTATGAATTTTAATCCAATAAATTATCAAAATCATCTAAATATAATAAAATTAGTTTGTATTTACATGTTGACATTCTATATATTTTGTCACGTCATAATTTAAAAAAAAAACTTAAAAAATTAGATATTTTTTTTTATTTTTTTATGGTGTGATAAAAATAATATAAAAATTAAAGTTAAATTTTATTTTTAAAAAAAATTAAAGTTAAGTTTCGTTATTACTTGACTTAATACAAAAATAAGTGTCTAAACTATATCTAAAATTGACTTTTGGTGTCTAAAGAATCTTTTGTTAAAAATAAGTGCTTGATGTTTTCTACGTTATACTTTTAAGTATATATCGTAAAAAAATTGTTAAGTGACACGTGTCACATTTATATTTTTTTTTGATTTTTTTTAAAAATATGAATTTTACACGTGTAACTTAACGTTTAAACTATATCTAAATTGACTTTTGGTGTCTAAAGATCTTTTGTTAAAATAAGTGCTTGATGTTTTCTACGTTATACTTTTAAGTATATATCGTAAAAAAATTGTTAAGTGACACGTGTCACATTTATATTTTTTTTTGATTTTTTTTAAAAATATGAATTTTACACGTGTAACTTAACGTTTTTTAACGGTAAACACCTAAATATATAACGGAGAAAACGTTAAACACATATTTTTAACAAACAAAAAAAATTAGACACCAAAAAACAATTTTAAGTATAATTTGAGTGTAACACCTAAAAGAATGAAGAGGAGTTTTCTAGAACTTTTCTTTTACTCCTTCATTTCCCACATGTGATAATATAATCCCTTTCAAAAATTATCTTGCTATTAAATGACTATTTTGCTCTTTCATTCTCTTTGATATTTAATTTTTTCATTCTCTTTGATATTTAATTTTATACATAATTTATAATATAAGCCTCTGAACTATTCAATTTATCTTCTTTGACCAATAAATTCAAAAGTTTTTCAATTTAATCACTAATTCGGTATTGAGGATATTACATTGAGCACTTATTTTTTATAGTAAACCTTATTACTCTGTTACATTCAAATCGATAATAAAGTAGAAAGAAATACATTGAAATTTAAAGTCTAAAATAATGAAATCATTAACATTAGGGACTAATACCAAATTTAATTGTAAAATTCAATATTGAAAAGAGAGTATAACTTGCCTTTCTCTCTCATAGTTTTTGGAATGTCTAAGAGATGGTAGCTTAAATTAAGGTTAAAGAACGAAAGAGAATAGAAATAATAAAAAATATTAAAAAATAAAATATTTTTATTATATATAAACTAAAATATTAATTTGGATAAACTACGTATTTAATATATAAACTATTAATTTCGATATGTTTTAGTATTTAAATTTTTATTTTCTTCAAAACCATAATTAATGTTTAGTTTTTATTTTATTTTAGTATTCACAGTTAAAAACTAAGTGTTCAATACCTAAACTCTTGATTTTGGTCTGTTTTAGTACTTAAATTTAATTTTTTTAGAACTTATTGTTAAATTTTGAATGGTATACTAAAATGAAACAAATTAAATTTTAGATATTATTTTGAAAAAAATTAAAAGTTTATAAATTTTAGATATGCTTAGCCGTAAATTATACCGTCCTTAGGATAGGGATGGCAACTGGCTGAGTTCGGGCCGGGTATTGATCCCCGTTTCCGTCCCTGTTTAAAAAACTCATATCCGTATCTGTTTAAAAAACCGCGAGAATTTAAACGGAGATCCCCATCGAGTAATCGGAAAAAACCGCTGAGAAACGGGTATCCCTGTTTAACATAAACGATTATTTAAACAGATATCGGGCCGAGTATATATATATTTAAATTAAATATATAAATATTATATATATATATATTAATTTAAATTAAATTTATTAAAATTATATATATAATTATTTTTAATATTTATCGGGTTGAGTATCGGGCTGAAGATTACCAAACTCGTTCTCGTCTCGTTTAACATAAACGGTTTTTCCGTCCCCTTTAGCATAAACGATTTTTCCCCTCCCGTTTAATTCGATTTTAGGTTTCCGTCTGTTCGGTTTTTTTTTTACATCTCTAGTTTCCCCTCATATACTTGCTACTCTGCATCAGTCGTTGATGCTTCCGTAGACTGTAGAGGCGATGTCGTCCAAAATAGAGCTCTCCCTTTCCCGGCCCAACCGCATCTACCGCCCCTCCGTGCGTTCTCTCTCTTATTTTCCGCGATGAAATTAAAATTCTAGTGATTTGACGGTGGATTTGTATGTTGTCTTTCTAATAGGAGCCTCTTGAAGGCAAGATCGTGGTGAAATCTTCTTCTTCCATTTCTCACAACGGAATCCGCGTCGTCCTCAACGGATCTGTCACCCTCCAGGTTTTTCCATTTCCGGAGATAACGAAGAGTTTTATTTATGTGACTATTCTTTTTTCCTTTTTTCAACATTTTATTTTTTCTGTTTTTTGTAGGTTCGAGGAGGTTCGGCTGGAGTTATCGAGTCCTTATATGGTGTTCTCAAGCCAATTATAATCCTGTACGTTTATCTAAATTTTCTCTAGCTTATAGCTTTGATACGTGCGGACTGTAATTGGAAATTTGAAATGGAACTTGAAAACCGACCTAAAAGATATGCAATGTTGTTTACGATAATCTGATCTCGGATTGTGCTTGAGTCCTGCTTAATGGAAATCGCTAACTTCCTTGGAAATTTGTTTTGTTTAGGATGGATTGGAAGAGAGATGAGTTGTGTATATGTTTCGAATAATTGAGCTAATGATGTGAAAGTTTAGTGTGTAGACTCGAGAGAGAGGAATGGATTTCTATGTAAATTACAGTCAAATGGTATAGCTAGTCTTAGTGTTGGGAACATTGGTAAATGAAACGATCAATAGGGGTGGTTCTTATGATTTAGAAACTTTTGGATTTCGATGTACACCTTCGGTAATATGTGTTTACGTGATCCTTGGTCTAATGTCTTTGCAGAAAGGCTTTCAGGTGCCTTAAGGGAGTTGGTATTGTTCTAGATGCTTAAACGATTTCTAGTTTTGATATGGTTAGCTGTGGCAAATAATGTGTTGTACTTGTCTTCTACGGCTAAAATGGATTAGAATGCTATTCATGTTATTTTAAGTTCTCATTCCCGTACCATATCTTTGGCTCTAGATCAGTTTTGCCTAGGAAACCAGGATCTGGTATGGGCGTTAGGCTTCGACTTAGGGTGCTTGAAGTCTCATTAGAAGGAATTATTTGATAATATTGATGATATTTAGCTTTCTGCACTATTTTCTTAGTGAAGCTTGAAGGCATACTCATGAATTGCATTGTGGAAGTCCTTTTAATTTGACTAGTACTTGTGGGGTTTCCCAAAATAACCAAAACGGTTTATTCTAAAATTAGCATTATCTTAATAATACTTTCTGTGATTTGTGTTTTGCCTTTTTTAATTTTCGCAAGCTGTTCTTATGTTGAAGCTATGCAAATATCTTTAGAAGTTTTATTTTTCTTATTTGCACAGGAATAGGATCATCGAGATTAAACCAGCTGGAAGAATTGTTTCAGGTACAACAGAGGTAGTACATCTATATGAAATATATAATACCCTTATGGTTCTGTATTTGTGCAAATTATATTTCAAGAGTTACATATGTTTATTTAGTTCTTCCTGAACAAAGAGGAAGTAACTCACACCAAAAACTGCATGTTTAAGTGAGAGTTCAACTAGTCTAATGGCAAGATACGATTGTAATAATGGTACTCGAGCATGATTCATGAACCACAGCCCCTGCCGTAAATTCTAACCTTTGACAGAGCTGAGAGACCTAAACATCACATCTCTTCTAAATAATAGAAGGGCTGAATTTTGGGTTTTGTGTGGTGACGGGAGTTGAACAGAACATGGTTGCGCAACTGTCTTTTAATTTTTTTTGTCCTTAATGGTTGATTCTCATTCTTTTGGCAACTGCAAGTACCACATATGTCCATTAGCAGTCATTCTAGTTTGTTGTGGCAGATACCATTCGCTATAACTCTGCGGAACCCTAAAGAAGATAATTCGGAAAGATTTTATGAAACCTTCCATGGAACAAATATTAGCATTCAGGTGACTATTTTGTTATACCAGAAATCTCTTTGTTTAACATTGTTGTGCGGTCACTATTGGACTCTTTCTTCATTTTAATCAATCTTGTTATAGTATTTGGCAACTGCAGATATGATGAGAGGATACCTGCATAAATCATTATCTGCTACAGTGGAATTCATAGTAGAAAGTGATAAAGGTATGGCTCAGTTTGAACTTTAAAGTCGTCTTCTTAATTATATCAACATGAATCAGGTTAAATGGACTTTTTCGTTTATGACATATTTGCAGCTGATCTTCTTAATCAACCAATTTCTCCCGAGATGGTTATCTTTTACATTACTCAGGACACTCAAAGGCATCCTATACTTCCTGAACTGAAATCAGGTTTTTTGCTGTTTCCCATGTTCCTGCTCTAGTATCATTCAAATTTTAAAGCAGGGAGTATTCAATATGTTATTCATAGTACATTTATTTATAAGAAATTCCTATGATGTGGAACTTCAGCTGCATTTCATCCGAATTCTTATATACTCATTTCATTGACCCCCACTGACTAGATGTTTGGCTGAATAGGTGGCTTTCGCATGACAGGAAGAATATCCACCCAATGTCCTATGCTTGAACCTCTTGGTGGAGAACTAACCGTAGAAACATCTGCACTTCCCATTTCTTCTATCGACATTCACTTGCTTCGGGTAGAGTCGGTTCTTCTTGGCGAAAAAATCATCACTGAATCTTCTTTGATACAGACTACACAGGTGCGACTTTTCACACCCTGTGTAACTGATAAATTCAACAGTTGATGTATCGTTTAACAGCTTTCGTTTATTCGAGTCTAGATCGCAGATGGAGATGTCTGCCGCAATATGACGATGCCGATATACGTCGTATTACCCCGTCTTTTGACATGTCCAACGGTCTTAGCTGGTCCATTCTCCATCGAATTCAAAGTTGCTGTAGTCATCACCTTTCAGTCTGAATTATCCAGACTACATCCAAAATCGGATCCACTAACTCCAAGATTATGGGTATGCATATTCAAGGTTTCTTTTCCAAATCAAAGCTTTTCGTCGCATCTAAACCCATCTTTTCGAATTTCAGATGGCAATGGAAACTCTACCACTTGAACTTGTTCGAACAAGGTGAGCTTTACGAACTTTTTGAATATGGTAAACTATGTATTTAGTACCTAAACTATCAGTTTTGGTCCGTTTTAGTATCTAAATTCGCTATTTTTTCAAAATTATACTTAACGTTTAGTTTTCATTTTATTTTAGTATCCACCGTTAAAAACTTATCGCGTTTAGTACCTAAAATATCAGTTTTGGTTCGTTTTAATACTTAAATTTTCAATTTTTCAAAACTTAACGTTAAATTTTGAACGGTAGTAATAAAATGAAACAAAAACTAAAGTTTTTAATGACGGATATTAAAATGAAACAAAAAATTAAATTTTAGGTATGATTTTGAAAAAATTAAAAGTTTTGATACTAAAACAAATTAAAACTGATAGTTTAGATACTAAACGCGTAATTTACCCTTTCGAATATCATACTCGATAGCAAGCATGTGCTCGGTTAGTTATAAACTTCAACGTGAAAGCATCTTTGTAGTTGTAATTTGCGGGAGTACTGAAAACTTAAATATGGTCTTGTGCATTGGATATTTAAGATGGAGAGTCGGTAAATGAAGTATGAGTTCATATTACTGTTCCATCGGATTGAAATAAAACATGTTTGTAGGGATGTCAACGTGAACCCGTCAAGAATTTTATCCTCGTTTGGCTACCTGCTAGATTAAAAGCATCCCCGTCCCACTAGGGATGTGGGACGACAATGAGTCGGGTTAGGAACGGGTGTTTTTTATCAATTTGATTTGATTTGAAAATATGTATTCTCCACTCGAATCCGACCCGACCTAAAATTATATATCCTTCACTTGATTTTGATCCCATTCGAATTTTTAGCGTATAAATTCGTTTCAACCTAATCTGATAAAAAATAAGGATTTATTTAAAAAATGACTTAAAAACCCAATTCGATTAGACTTGAACCCTAAATTAAAAAAATTATCATATCGACTCAGGTCGCGTCGAAATCCGTCGTGTTTGGGTTAAATCTACATCCCACCATCCTTACGGGTCTCGAGGTTCACTTAATCTCTATTATATTCATTCTGCAATTTACATCGTATACTATATTTATAGGTATTAGTTAGATAAATATAAGACTTAATATTAAAAAAAAAGTGTCTACATTAGACATTTTTTTAAAATAGGTGTCTAAATGATTTTTTTGACTCATCTAGGTATCTAATGTTACAAATATTACCTATTTAGGAGGCTAAGGCCATCAACGACGTTAATTTATACCGTTAAGTGATGTGTCATAATCAGGTGATTTTGAAATTTATTTTTTAAAAGAAATTAAAAATATTATTATATTTATAAAAAAATCTAATTTCTCTTAAATTGTAAAATAACCCTCAAATTCCTAAAATCTTCAAATATTAACTTTAACTCGTCGCTATCGCCTTTTTTGGCCACAATAATCGCAGTCGACGTAGTCCCTATCAACCTCCTAGTTATATGTCATTGTAGTTATCATCGATTGGTAGTTAGAATTGCATGGGATTGTGATTTTTAACCTAGGGTTATCAGAGTATAAAACGTCGATTCATCGTCGATCGGTCACGATTTCATATGGATTTTGGTCGTCAGGGGGAGTGGAGGTCGGGTAGAGTTTCGTCGACGGCAAAAGTCGGCGTAGGTCTAGGGGTTGAAATGAAGGTTTTTAAAATTTTAGGTTTATTTCAAAATTTGTGTTTTCTTTTTTTTAATATATGTTTTTAATTTTTTAATTGTAAATAAAAATTTAAATTTACCAAAGTATGACACATGCCACCTAACGGGAAAATTAGCACCGTTTACGGCTCGGACACCTAAATGGGTAACGTTTGTAATGTTAGACATTTGAATAAGTCAAAAAAGTTTAGACACCTATTTGGGAAAAGCAATATAGTTTAGGCACTTATTTTAATATTAAGCCTAAATATAAATCAAATATTTAGGGAAAAGAATGAAGTAATTGTCTTTTGGATTCCTATCACATTTGTGGTATTATTGCAATCTTCAAAATTTAAAGAAAAATTGATATGATGTTGTAATTGATAAATTAAAATATAATTCAGAAGATGAAATCTTTACATAATATTTAAATATAAATAATATATAATATATGTTTTTAATCTATTTTCTTAATATCTACTTTTTAAAATAAGTTTATTATGTATTCTAGACGGATTGGGATGAGATGGATATAAAGTTATATTTATTATCAAATGATTGAGAATTTTTATATATATATTATTTTATATTTATCTTAAAATTATAAAGAAAAATATACCCCACCATTCGTGGATTCACATATCTACGGTGAGATCATATGCTATCCTCCTAATCTTGTTCGCTCCACCACGTCAACTTCTAGAAAATAAACAAAAAATCATAGGACTTTGATATGAAAAAAGCTTAGTACATTATTTGATATCCGAATATATATATATATATGGGATGTTTGTGATTTGAGAGTAATTTCATATTTATATTTGTCAAATCTTGTATATACTTTGAGGATCAGATTTAGAGTATAAGAATGTTAACGATATGAGCGGTCAATCTCAAATGACAGATAACTAAAAAAAATTGAGTTTAGGTTTGAGTCGGGTTGAGTTTTTTTAAGGTTATATTCGAATTGGGTCGTGTTCAGGGTGAAAAATGTCCAATTTGACCTAACCCAAAAAAATTATAATTTTACCTTATATTTAGGGTTATTAATTTAGAGACAATTACAATAATATCTCTCTATATATTATTTTTTTCAATTAAATCTTTATTTTTATTGAATAAAAATAAAATTTTTTAGTAAATATATTTTTCGGGTCGAGTTTAGATTTTATCTCAAAAAATAGGGTCAGGAAGTTCCTGCAAGATAGGATATGTTCAAATGTAATATGATGATTCATCATATAGCAAGAACCAAGAATCATGCCTTGTTCGTTACCCATTTTCATGATTTTTCCTCTTGTAAATCATAACTTGCATCATATAGTAAGATTGAAATGCATGCAGATGTGGTTATGATGTGATGTAACGAAGCAGCTTAAATAATGAAATTTAAGTCGCATCACAGACTGGATCTGTCGTCAGATTGTTGAGAAAGAATGGACTGGAAATGGTGGAAATCGTTCTTTGCATGTGGTTCGGTTGCCATCTACATCTTCCTGTACTCTGTGAACTATCTCATCTTTGATCTTAAGAGCTTGAGTGGACCAATATCAGCTCGAAAAGCGTTGACTCCGGTCTGGTCGGTGTAGAGGGAGACGATTGTCCACCAGTCGAAAATGAAAGATGACGGCGACATCGAGGAATGAGAAATGGAGTCAATGAAGTCTTTGATGAGGAGTTTCCGAAAGGCGGGCCATTTATCGTACCAACTAAGATAAATGTTGATCGGCGATGAGGAAAGGACCGGAGCTTTACTGTTTCCGACGAGCCTTCAAACTTTTTGGAAGAGGAGAGAGTTTTTGGTGGAAGCTTGGGTTGAAGTGGTTGGCTTCTTGAATTTTTAAAGTTTGATCCTTTGAGGCGGTAGATACTGAGGAAGTGTCGGAGGATGTGAGTATTAGAAAGGAGGAGATATTTTCAGCGGTGAAGATGGTGGTAGTGACGGTGTGAAAGCTGAGTAGCAAATGAGGGGTGGATAATAATAAAATAATAAATAAATAATATTAATAAAATATTAATTGATTAAAAATTAATAAAATTGTCACTTCATCACGGAGTTGAGAAGAAAATGGTGGAGTGAAAAAAAAATCAATGTCTAAAGCTTAGTGATTAAATTAAAAAAATTGAAAGTACGTAAGTGAAATAGGAGCGAGTAAAATTCAGTAAGCGAGTCCATCCCATTCTTTGTATCGCTTCGTGTGAATTAGTGGGAGGAGACGATTCGTTGGCAATGCCGGTAGCTTGCGCCGTAGAGATGATACATACGGCCTCATTGATCCACGATAACTTGACGATGACCTTAGAAGAGGCAAGCCTACGAACCATAAGGTATTCGACGAAGGAACCGCCGTTCTCACCGGCGATGCTCGCCTCTCCCTTGCCTTTGAACATATTGTTTCCAACACAAGAAATGTTTTGCCCGATTGCATGGTTCGAGCGTTTTCTGAATTGAGCTCAGCAATACGGTACAAAGGGCTCAGGAGTGTAAACGAGTCGAGCTCGAGTATTGCTGAGCTCGACTCGACTCGAAAACTCTGAAATAGAGCTCGACTCGAAAACTCGTGAGCTTAAAATTTTTAAGCTCGACTCGAACTCGAAATCCTGAACCGAAGCTCGTGAGCAGCTCGAAAAGGCTCGAAATGAAAAAAAAAATCTTAAACTTAACTAGATTGAAGCCTCAAACTCAAATTCGAACTTGAACCTTAAATACATGAAAGACTTATTGTATCTTTTATAAAAAAAAACAACGCATAAATGTTAATATTATTAATAATTTATTTAAAAAAATGAAATCTTAATATATTATATTTTCGAGTTGCTTACGAGCTTTTCGAGACGAGTATCAAGTAGCTCGTTTCGACTCGTTAAGAATTCGATTCGAGCTCAAGCTCGAGTCGAGTCCATTCGATCCGAGTATTTATCGAGCTTTAACCAAGTTGATCTCGAGTAGCTCACGATCTGTCTCGTCTCATTTGCAGTCCTACTCGTGAGTGAGGGAAAATAAGTGGGCTTGGAAGAATTGGAGTACATCCATGTCCATAAAACAGCCAAGCTCTTAGAGGCCTGTGCCGTATGCGGTGCAATAATGGGAGGAGGAAACGATGCCGACATCGAAAGGGTTCGGAAATACGCGAGGTGCGTAGGATTGTTGTTTCAAGTGGCAGATGATATCTTGGACGTGACCAAGACTTCCACGCAGCTCGGGAAGACTGCGGGGAAAGACTTGGACAAACGATAAGGTAACGTATCCGAAGTTGATGGGCATCGTCGGGGCGAAAAAACTTGCCGATGATCTGATGGCTCGATCGGTTGAAGAGCTGGATTGTTTTGATGGTGCAAGGGCTGCACCATTGCTTCATTTGGCACACTGCATTGCTAATAGAGAAAACTCAAGTCCCCATTGTTTGTATTTTTTTTTATCATTTATTATTTTCATTTCATTTTTTCCTTAACTTTGTTATGTTTTCTTATATATTAACTTATGTATTTTTATATCAACGGGCTGGTTTAAGTGGTAAATAGTTTGATATCGTTTATGTAGATTTCGAGTTCAAGTCCTTTTATATGCAGAAAATTCATGCTGGAAGTCTCACCCAAAAACAGGTATGTGACGTGGGTCGGTCTGAATTAATCAGAGCAAAACCCTTGAACCAAGAGGGCAACAAAAAAACTTATGCACTTTTATTTTTTAAAAAATTAATGTAATTTCATTATATTTCTTATTTATGTGTTAAATTTGGATGAGATATTTTATTTTTTTTTACGAATTAACCCTAACCTTAGTGCTTAGTTAGCATTTTTATTATTATAATTCTTCAACTTAATTTTTTTTGCATTAGCCATTTTTCAAAGGTAAATAATTGGATCGAATTTATAAATTTCATTAATAAGGTATCCCTTAACCAATTAAATATCATAATAGTGTTGTGAGGATGATAATCATTTTTCACACGTAATCCACTCTCATATTCTTTTCTTTGGTAAGTAATATTTAATTTAATATTTTAATTTTATTAAAATGATAAGTTTCAGGATTCAATCTCACCCTAATAAAGATTGGTGACGACTTCTTTCAAACTGCATTAATATTCATTCGAAGCAAAACTTTGAAAGAAGATCATCTCTTATTTTTAAAGACGTTTTGACAATTTGAAGACTATAATAAGTGAGGATTGACGGTGAACCATAAGAGCTCACCTAATTAGATCCGTGTAGAAATTCTATTAATTCTCAAATAAGTGTACACAAAGGAGAAATGACACTTATGTTTAGTTTAATTTTTTTAATTATATGCATGTGAAATAGAAAGAATATAGATAGATAGAGTTTATTTTTGTTCAAGACAAAGCATCTTAACTAGAAAAGTATGTTAATATATTTTAGGGTAAACTATGTGTTTAATATTTAAATTATTTGTTTTGATTTGTTTTAATACCTAAACTTTCATTTTTTTTAACTACACTTAACATTTAGTTTTTGTTTTATTTTAGTATCCCTGTGAAAAACTTAACATTAATTTTGAAAAAAATTGATAGTTTAGGTGCTAAAACAGATCAAAACTGATAGTTTATGTACTAAACATGTTAAGTTTTTAACGGCAGTGTACTAAAATGAAACAAAAATTAAACGTTAAGTATAGTTTTAGGGGGGAAATGAAAATTTAGATACTAAACACATAATTTATCCTATATTTTATTTGCTCAACCTAAAAGATGTGTGACGACTCAAAAAAAATCTTTCAAGGTCCAAACTCAATTTGGGTTTAAGGACCTTTCTGAATTATTAGATGGGGTGGATGAGGGCGGTCACCCACTAAAAATTATCATATATTTTAGATTTTTTCTATGTATTCTTATTTAAATCTTTCTTCTTCGTCCCCCTGAAATTTTATAATTTTAAGTTTGCCACCATTTGAATTTTATAAATTCAATTTCATCCCCTTTAATATAAAATTTTACGTCCGTCCCGATTCTAATAAACTCTCAATCTTCTTCTTATCCAAAGAAATCTCTCTTAAAGTTATGGAAGAACACGCAAGAATTCCTTCAATATATCCCCTCTCTAGGAAGACTCGTATGCGCATTTATTACCTCAACAATGTATATGCGCTCTTTATTAGACTTCAAAGATAATAAAGAAGCGGGCGAGTATTATACTAGCATTAACTCTATGATGTAATGCTTCTCTCTTAGCTCATAATCTCACACTTAAACTAATGGGGTTTTTTTTAGGTTTTAAATACTCAGATTTAGGGATGGATATAGGACCTGAACCCGACGAGTTTCATTTCGGCCAAATTTTATTGGGTCTATTTTTTTTAAATCGAATTTAGGTCGGATCAATTCATTTTTTAGAGAATATGTTCGGGTTAAGTCGAGTTCAGATTTAGAGTGAAAAATACAACCCGATTCAATTTGAAACTAACATAATTCTACTTTATATATTTAAAGATAATTATAATAATATTAACTCATCATTTACTCACTACCCACAACATGTATGACTTTTTACATCCATATTCGCCTACTACCCACTAAACTTATATCTCTCTCAGCCCTAATTTGAATTGATACAGTGAGAAATCTATAAAACTGTACTCGTCTATCATCCCTAAATACTACAAATCTACACTCCGTGATGGACTAAGAAATGTTAGAAATTTCAATTTCTCATATAATTTAAATATTTTATTTATATTTTATATTCAAACATAATTTCGCAACTCTTAATATTTTATAATTTGACATCCTTTATATTTTTAATATAATTTTCTAAATTCACACCCTTTAACCTAAACCTAAATTCTTGTGTCCTTTCTATCTACACATTCAAACAACCGGTCTTAGAAGAATTACACAAATGGATGATAAAAAAAGCATTACCCATTGAAGAACAAAAAGAACGAAAAGGGAGTTGGTGCTTGAAGTTTCTAAGTGGACGAGACCTGGAGGAAGAGGAGTAAATGAAAATTGTTCCATTACCTGAAGCTGAAACGGTGGAATGGATTACCGCAGTTGAATCTTCTTCTTCTTCTTCATCGTCGCCTGTGACTTGTATCTCAACTGGCGTTCTCTTTGGCGTCTCCGATATGGAGTGAAAACACCGAATCAATCAAAGGATGGAAATTTTGTAAATCATTTTGTCTGGGGAGGAGCTGAGGGGGAATTCGGGGTTCAGATTTTCATAATACGGTCAGCTTTGCGTTTATAGCTTTGTTCTAAGGGTAAACTACACAGATGACCACACAATTATGGGCTTAGTCTTGAAATGACCATCATTTTTAAATTTACGTCAATAAGACCACTGAACTATTTAATTGGATTCAATATAACCAGCCGTCGTTAACAGTTGATGGAATTGCTTATGTGGCATTTAACATAATTGGTAAAATTCATAGTTGATCCTCAATACTTGTACATTCAATCAATTGATCCTAATTTTAAAGTTTGGGAATAATTTAGAAGTTTAACTATAGTTTGATGACATTTGTTTAAGGATGGGCATTGGTCGGATTTGGGTCGGGTTTCGGCTAACCCTATCCAATAAAATTTTTTTATATCATTCACTCGACTCGACCCGAGAAATATATATCCTCCACCATACCTGAATTTGATCGGACTTTTTTAGATAAAATCCAAACCCAATTTGACCCGACCTGAAATAATAATAAAATATTATTTTTATTCAATAAAAAGAGTAATTTAATTAAAAAAAATATAATATATAGAGGAATATTATTGTAATTATTCCTAAATATATAATGTAAAATTATATTTTATAAGGTCAAATATTTTCACCCTAAACCTGAATTCGCCCCGACCCAAACATTAACTTTAAAAAAATCCAACTCGATCAAATCTAAACCTGAATTTTTTATAATAAAAAACCGACCCGATCGGGTTCGGGTCCCATGCCATCCCTACGTTGGTTGAAGTAATCCTTACTATATATCTCTCGTCATTTTCTTCCTCTTCCCTTCTCACATGTGTTTCTCTTTTCCGATGTCTATGCTTAAAGCTTTAATTTTATTTTTTTACATTTTCTACTGCTTCACCCTCTCCTTTCCAGCTTTAACAAGGAAGAAGAAAAGGGATTTTCTCGCATTTTCTTAGGAATCAAACACCACCGACTTTCATCTTTCCACCACCTTACTAAAAAAGTTTTGCATTTTTTTAAAACTCAAGCGGTCTTCTTTACTAAATATTTTCGACCCCATTTTTTATTTATTTTTCTTCACATTATATGATTCTTTTTTATGGCTATACTGGCTTAAGATCGGCAAAATCATGGTCGTTAGTTCGGGTGACCGGAAAGAAATTATCTTTGATATCGAGGACAGAAGTAATGACGGTAGTATTCCTGCTTCCGGCGGAGCATCCACCGCTGGTGGAGGTAAGTTTTGGACAGGGACAAGCTACGATTTTTAGATCGACAGTGAGAAAATCGAAAGCAACTGGAAGGAAATGAATGGTAACATGAATGGTACTGACAGTAATGGTAAGAATAATAACAGGGAAAGTGAGGGCCAGTTCAAAGTTGATAGGTCAGTTTCTGCATAAACAAAAAGCTTCAGGCGAGTTCTCATTGGATATGGATTTGGAAATGGATGAACCTCAACAAGAGTCGCCCCAAATTGGCGGTGTACTGCCTACATTCGTTGAATCGTCGTCGCCCTCAGCGACTGCTCTTCCGAGGGTATCTTTTGAGAACTACCCTGTAAGAAGAAGAAATAGTAAAGGGTCACCATCTCCAAGAAAAGAAGACGATGGGGTTGTGGAGGGGATGAAGGGAGACAAAGGAAGGGGAAGAAGATGACAGGAGATATAAACTAATGATTAATTCAACCAACATCCTCAAACTATAGTCAAACTTATAAATTATTCCTAAACTTTAAAATTCGGACCAAATTGATTGAATGTACAAGTATTAAGGATCAAATATGAAATTATACCAATTTCATTAACTGTCAAGTAATCACTTTTGTTAAATGTTAACGACTAGTGGCTATATTGAATATAATTAAATAATTCAGTGATCATATTGACATAAATTTAAAAATAATGGTTATTTCGAGACCAAACTCATAGTTGGGTGGCCATTTATGTAGTGTATCCTTGTTTTAATGCGTTTGTCTAAGAAAAAAATAATAAATATTACAAATAGTAATAAGAGTAAACTGTCTATTTGGTCACGTATCTATTACTTAATTTTTTTGTCACAACTTAATATTTTTTTGGGTTTTAAAACCATACCTAATATTATTATTTTTATTTCTGTTTTAATTGTATATCGTTAAAATTTTAATGATGATGCTGACGTGATATTTTTCTTATCATTTTTCAATGTTGACTTGACGTCATTGTTTTGAAAATCGGATCAGATCGGCCGGTTCAATTGGGAACCGTTGCCTAGTCCGGTTCAATCTAGACCGATTGAACCGTTATTAGTGAACCGGCCGGAACCGCTGAACTGGCTGAAAATCGGAAAAAATCGTCAATTTTGTTTTGTTTTTTTTTAAATTAAACCAAACGACGTCGTTTGTTAAGCGAGCCAAGTCGAACTCGAGTATTGTTGAGCTCGACTCGAACTTGAAAAATTTAAAAGTAAACTCAACTCGATCCAAACTCACGAGCTAAAAATTATGAAGTT